CCCCCCCCCTCCTATATAAAGGGGACCCTTGTCATTTTGTAAAGGGACATGATATTCAATACAAGAACAAGAGCATTCTCTGCTCTCTAACTTAAACATTCTTCATTGTGTTTCCTTTAATTTATTGCTTACATTTATAGTATTTTATTGGTTGTTCTTCATTTACTACTCATCATTGATCATAAAGAGTCATCATCAAGGCCCTCAGGATTGTTAGTCCTTCATCGATCAGCCCCAATCAAGCCCCTTAGCTCGACCTCGAGGCCCAGTGTAGGCCGGCTCGAGATCTCACCTCACGGCTATTCGGTTTGCATAGCATACTATCCTCTTACTCTTATCTTACTTTCCTAGCTCACACTTAGCATCTATTGCCTAACAACTAGCATAAAAATAAATCACGTGTTTTTAGAACCACAAAATCAAATCTAATTGTAATTACCATTTTCAAGGTAAACACATTGTAATAAATATAATTTACTATTGCTTTTTATTCATATCTTTACAAGCTTAGACAAAGGATGATGCAAACATAATTGCACATTAGAAATCACGTGAGTAATCATAAACTCAGGCCTTATTGCACACATTACACATATGATATGAGTATGTATAAAGATTTTAATAAATCATTACATTTTTGACAAGGATCGGTTAATCTTGGGTTCCAGTACAAATTAATGATCCATCAGTGCGGAAAAGTTTACAACCTTCATCTGCTGTGCAACAGTTGACACATACTGGACTAATTTGCTCATCTCCTGAAGAGGGACAAGTCATGTATGCCACTTCATTATCACAAAACTGGAGACATGACTTGGCATTTACATATTTCACCTCACCAATTCCCAACAGAAATATACCTATAAATTAAAGCACCCAAATCAACACAAAGTAAAGATATAAAATGACATTTTGGCTATATATATATATATATATATATCAAAGAAGCCTTACCAGATAATAGGAGGAGAGAAAGGATACTAGCTTTGTAAAATGCCATTTTTCTCTGAATGCGCTGATTTGAGGATGTTATCCTCTTAAGCTATTTATTTATAGAGCTAACAAAAGATTACTAAAATACAACTAGCAATGACATTTTCTCATTCCGTATTTAGATAACTAACATAGTTGTAAAAATGGACCAGATATTGCTTGGTCAAACGAAACTCAATGCAGCCTTCACATTAGATTGTATCTATGACCTAACTGTTTGAAGCTTTTGGTATACCTTAAAAAAAAACATGTTTAACCAAAAGATTATTCCTTGAAATTCATCATCATCTATCTCCAATATGGAGTTAAATATTACAACTCAAATTTTGAGCCATAATACCACATTTCGTTTGAAAACATTGTGGGTTTGAGACTGAGATTCACTTGAACATTTTTTCTGAAAATATATATTGAACGTCATGTCTCTACTTGCTATTGGTTTAGGGTCTAGTGCTCTATATCTCATAATTTTTATTTTTTGTTTTCTTTCATTTGAAGTATAATACTGTTTGTTCGTAGTACGTTTTTTCTAAAAATATATATTGAATATCTGTAATATTATTAAACCACATTAGTTCAAACTTTTAGGAACTATATTGCAAATATTACATCAATGGCCACTGAATTTGAAATACTATACACAATTAAATGAAGTATGTTGACTAATTTCATTCAACTAAGCCATTATCTTTGAACAAATGATAACCATGTTGACACATAAGAGTGAAATTTTCGTTCCTATACCATATATGAAATTATATTACCAAATATGTTCATACTTTGCATATTACCCTTTATGCTAATAGTATTTCTACATAATATATACAATACACTAAATAAGGAATCATTATAGCTGTAGGATTCCTTATTTAGGTGCGCTAAAAAAGGGGAATTAAATATTTTCCAGATCTTCCAACGCAAATCACGCACAGTAATCACTATCGTCGACTTCTTTACAAAATTTTCATACTCTGTTTTTTGCGCTAAACTCTGTTTCAACATTTTCTTTGATTTCACAAATCAAAATCGACAAAATCTTCTACAATTCTTCTGCAACAAAAGCAATTATGGCAAAAATACAAAGCAAAGGAAAAGAGAGCAGCAATTCCACCATTGACAGCCATTAAAAGGCTTTGAAGCTTTGAATTCAAATTTGGGTTTTCAAAAAACATTATTTGTTTGGATTGGGTGTTGTTGAAAATAATTGGAAATATGGTTTGGAGTTTATATCTCAATTTTGAGGGGTTTTGGTGAAGATTAGACTTGGTTTTGACTGAATTTCAGATTGAAACTTGAAGAAGAAGGAGAAGAAGACATGACATATATTATATTGCAGAAATTGTAGAAAAATTGTAGATAAATTGTAGACAGTTGTTTATTTATTTTTCTTTTATTCATTTACCTATTGTATAAAAGTTGAACAACATTGTATAAAAATTGTATTTAAGTGGATGATTTAGTACTGTTTTAGACAAAAATATGTATAAAAAATGTGAAACATACATTTCAGGGGAAGCATTTCGAGTCCAAATATGTACCCAGTTTGTAGATATTTTGTAGATAAATTGTAGATTATTTGTATTCTGATTGTAGATGCTTTATTTTCTGTTTTCACAAATAAAAAACGACTAAAACTTCTACAAATCTTCTGAAAAACGTAATTATATCAAAAATCCCAATTATGCTACAATTGAATGGGAATTGGGATATTAAAATTCAATGTACCCTGTTTGTAGATATTTTGTAGATTATTTATATTCTAATTGTAGATGTTTTGTTTTCTGTTTTCACAAATCAAAAAAGACTAAAACTTCTACAAATCTTCTGCAAAAAAACGCAATTATTTCAAAAATCCCAATTATGCTACAATTGAATGGGAATTGGGATATTAAAACTCAATGTAGCCAGTTTGTAGATATTTTGTAGATAAATTGTAGATTATTTGTATTCTGATTGTAGATGCTTTGTTTTCTGTTTTCACAAATCAAAAATGACTAAAACTTCTACAAATCTTGTGCAAAAAAATGCAATTATGTCGAAAATCCTGATTATGCTACAATTCTGTGATTCTCATATATGCTCTTGTTACTCCTTATGAAACTGCTATGCTAAATATGGAATCTAAAAAACATGATGAAGGGATAGATCTTCCTAAGAAATTTTGTAGATAATTTATAGAAACATTGAAATTCTGTACTTTCATATAAAATTTTCAAATGATATGTAGTTTTGTTGTATATTAAATGTAGAAAATAAGCCATTGTGAGTCTTATTTGACTCATTCCTCACATTCAACCTATTCTACAAATTCACGCCTCTTTAAATACAATACAACCATACTTTCTTGAATTTAAAGGTATAGCAATATGTATAACTTAAAAAACATCTTCTCCTCTGCACAAGTTAGCTCCAAAACAAACGAAGTGAAATAACAAGCTCCTATCAAAATTTTTAACACAAAACACAAAGCTCAAAAATAAATAAACAATAGTCTACAATTTTTCTATAATTTTTGTACAATTTATCTACAATTTTTGCAATATAATGTATGTCATGTCTTCTTCTTCTTCGTCGAGTTTCAATTTGAAATTCAGCCAAAACCAAGTCGAATCTTCACCAAAACCCCTCAAAATTGAAATATAAACTCCAAACCATATTCCCAATTATTTACAACAACACACAATCCAAATAAATAATGATTTTTGAAAACCCAAATTAGAATTCAAAGCTTTAAAGCTTTTTAATGGCTATCAATGGTGGAATTGCTGCTCTCTTTTCCTTTCCTCTTATATTACTGAAATTTGGGATTGCGAGATAGAGAGAGGCATAGAGAGAATTCTCAATTCTTTGCAACAACATCCAATCCAAACAAACAATGTCTTTTGAAACCCCAAATTCGAATTCAAAGCCTTGGCTATGGAATAAATAATGGGATTTTGATACAGAAATCGTGGGTGTGGGAGGGAAACATGGGTGAAGGTGTGGGAATTGGAGAGAGAAAAGTGGGGGGAGTGATATTAGAAGGAATATACGGTACCATTAAATTAGGAGTGTAATTAATACCCTTAAAACCCACTAATGATATATAATTGATAATTAGATATACTAAATGTAATTTTATCAAACCTTAAACATTGAGGGTAATATAGTTTCATGTATGGCATAGAAATGTAAAAATTCCCACATAAAAAGACAAGACTCATAGCGGGGTAGTTTTGCAAACTTTGACCAAAGGTATAATAGAAACCAAGCTAACCTTATCACAACATGTCCAGTTGGATAGATAGACTTATTAATAGATTTTTAAGACTTTTACATCTCTCTAAGCTTTAGCTTCGTTGGTTTTATTTTTGGGAGTCATGCGGAAATATCTCAAATAAATCATACTTTATCAATTTTTAGCCATTAATTATAGATTTATCAAAACCAACCAAGCACATGCAAAAATTGAAAACTCAAATAAATAAGGATTCTTTCTATCCAAGAATCACACGCAAAGATTTCCTTCCATATTTTTAAGTGTATCAGCAATATTAGATGCAAGACGAAAAAGAAATTTCATGGATGAGATAACAAACAAGGTGATAAAATACAATATATATATATATATACACAATATTCCAAAAATTTAAACAATTTTTTTTTAATGGGTATAGTTGAAATTCATTGAAAACATATAGATAAGTCAATATACAAAATTTGAGGAAGATTGAAGGTGATTTGGACTAGTTTTGCATCAAAATTCGTAATTAAATCTAGTTCAAAAAATTCTTCTGCGACACATGTATCAAACATGTATCTCACACATAGGTATACATGGATATACATGTGATACACAATCGATACAAATATGATACATATGTGATACACAAATGATACATAGTGTGATACACATATCATTTTTTTTTTCATATTCAGTTTTTATTTCGAATTTTCAATTCAAACCACCTCAACNTATATATATATATATATATATATATATATATCAATGGGTATGATTGAAATTCATTGAAAACATATAGTTGAGTCAATATACAAAATTTGAGAAGGATTGAAGGTTATTTGGTATCAAAATTCGTAGTTAAAATCGAGTTCAATTTTTTTTCTCCGACACATGTATCACGCATGTATCTCACACATGTGTATAAATCCATAACTTTCGCTCATACCCTGTATTTTTGCCCAAAAAATTATTATATACAAATAATAAATTTTGAACCTATTAAATAAGATGAGATATGGTAGAATTGCGACTCTGAACCCATAAAGTTTAAAACTTGAGTCTGCCTCTGTATACATTTATATACATGTGACACACATTTGATATAAATATAATACATATGTGATACACAAATGGTATAAAGTGTGATGCACATATCATCTTTTTCTATGTTCATCTTCTACTTCGAATTTTTTATTCAAATCACCTCAAAACTCTACACCATAACTGAGATTTAAACTCCTTAACATTTATCCAATCTATTCCAATAACACCACTCAAAAGAAAGCAAAAAGTTGATATTTTTTTCTACAAACAACTAATTGGCTAATACTGGCAATATTTTGTGAATTGGCTAATTTTTGTATTAACTTACTAATCACTTAAAAAGTTAAAGTACTTCAATAATCGTTGTGGACAACTTAAAGAGCTCAATCTATATATTTCACCTTTTGAAAAACTTTCTAAATCAGGAAGAAAAGGATATCAGGAAAGCAAATAACTCAATTTCGAAATTGAAAACAAAAACGATGATACTTTTATTCAAAGTAAAGAATGGTTCTTACGAGTTTTAATGGTTCTTTGAAAATAGAGTAACTCGACCTAACTGAATCTACCGAACTGAGTATTAAGTTTCTCTAATAAAATTATATTTTTCAACATAATTCTATAATCGTACCGAATAATTAGAGTTTTATTTTTTATAAAAAATTATCAAATCGAACCGAATAAATTTAAGTATATACTTTATATATTAAACTATAAATAACAGAACATTCAAAATAGTGATCTTGGACCTTAAGCCTAGGGTTGGATATGAACAACAAC